AAAAAAAAAAAAAAAAAGAAAGAAAACATTTATACCTGACTGAAAGGAAGATGGAACTTGCATGACAGTTTTAACAGATTGTCATTTCTAGGAGTTAAGCACATGGTCGTTTCCATGTGCCTCCACTATTCAGTTTTTATTTTATTTTTTTTTTAAGATTTTATTTATTTATTTGACAGAGAGAAAGAGAGGACAAGCAGGAGGAGTGGCAGACAGAGGGAAAGGAAGAGGGAGAAGCAGACTCCCCACTGAGCAGAGAGCCCTACGTGGGGCTGGATCCCAGGACCCTAGGATCATGACCTGAGCCAAAGGCAGACACTTAACTGTCTAAGCCACCCAGGCACCCCCACCATTCAGTTTTTAAACACTTCCATCATAAGGAAAGGAAAATGTTAGTTGAAGTGGGGTTTGAGCACACTATGTTTTCCAGGATAATAGCACATGACTTTTCCCTAGTGCTTGTTGAGGAAAGTTTTAAAACACTCGTTAACTTAAAGAAAGGAAGTTGGTAGTTGCAGGACAGATTCAGTACAATGTAGTTTCTAAGAGGGAAGCACATGACCTTTTCCATATGCTTCTCTTTTTTTGTTCCTTTTAAAAAACCTTTTTAGGGGCACCTGGGTGCACAGTAGGTTAAGCATCCGACACTTGGATTCAGCTCAGCGTCGTGGGATCAAGGCTGAGTGCTCAGGGTGGAGTCAGCTTGAGGATTCTCTATCTCCCTCTGCCCCTCTCCTACTCACACATGCTCTCTCTCTCTCTCTCTAAAATAAATAAACAAATCTTTAAAAAAATTTCATTTGGAAATAATTTCAAACTTAACACAAATTTCAAGAAAATAGGAGTAGAATGAACACCCATTACCTCGTCCATATTTACCCACTGTTCCCATTTCCCTCCATTTGTTTTAGACTTGAGCTCATACCTGCGTGGGCTCCCTCCCTCTGTACACACAACATAAATACATGGTATGTTCTCATGACCCATGTGGAGCATCTTGCATTTGCCATTGCACTTCACCTCTACATTCTTCAGTGTATATTCCTAAGAATATGGATATTCATTACATAGTCACAGTATTTTATCACCTGTAAACTTAAGATTGATACAATATGATTATTTTCTATACCATCCTATTCCAATTTTGTCAGTTGACCCAATAGTGTCTTTTATATCATTTTCCCCTTTTGTACAGACTCTAGTTTGGGATCAGGTATTCCATTTACTTACCATGTCTCTTGGGCTCTTCACTGGCTTTGTTTGTTTACTTTTTATTTAAATTCTGGTTATTTAACATAGCGTGTAATATTAGTTTCAGGTGTACAATTTAGCGATTCAACACTTACATACAACACCTGATGCTCATCACATGAAGTGCCCTCCTTAATCCCCATCACCTATTTCACCCATCCCTTTGCCCACCTCCCCTCTGGTCACCATCACTAACTGATTCTGATATAAGCTCAGGGTTGGGAACCACCAAGCACTTGTACAGAGTTACTAATCAGGTGAAAGCCAAAGAAGCAGAGAACTCTGAACCATGAACAGGGTTGCTTTCTTACCTCTCTTCCCAGGTTGTCAGGAAAATTTGGGTGAGGAGCCCAGAACAGTTACATTCTCAAAGTCAGTTAGAGTAGAATATCTGAACAACATCCTCTCTGTAAGGGAAGATATTCTGAAGCTCAGTACCTCCAATGAGAGCAAACCTGGAACCTGGTGTGAACATGCCCTCCAGATGTCGAGTTTGAGACATATTAAAAAACATGTCCTAATCAATATTGTGGCTTTCTTCAATATTGTTATTTCTTACACATTTTTGTATTTCTCCTATATCAGTTTTTGAGTGAGGAGAAGACAAATCCATTCCCTGGGATGAATAAAAGTTATCAAATGGACAAAATGGACAACTGTTCAAAGGCAGGTATCTCATCAAGGACACGAGTGCTTGAGAGCTCTAGAATGGGATGGTATCAGAAATTACAGGAGTGGGGACTAAAAGTTTGTTTGTCTTGTCTTGTTTCCACAGTGAGGATCTAAACGTGATCTCTCTCATTCTGTGCTGGAAAATGATCGCTGGAAACCAGGTCAGAATGAGAGAAGCCTGCCCAACCTCCAGCGTGGCACACAGACCCTGCCAGCCCACTATGCTGGGCCTAAAGGGGGCTCAGGCATGAAGGCACATGGACCTCACCAGTGATGTGTGAATAGGCCATACTTGGATGGATACTGAAACCAGGGTGTCCAAAGACAGCTGATGGCACATTACATGAAATATCTGTGTCAGGAGAGTGTTCCATATACCTCTCTGTGCTGGCAGAGGTGGGATGCTGTCTGGTTTCTTTGTGGCCTCATGTGCCTGGCCCCAGTGGACCTGCTACCCACAGAAATTACTTCCATTTGTTTAAATGTCAAAGCTCTTTAGTCATCTTGGGAAAATCTTCTATAATACTGAAGCACAAGTCACAAAATAGCTTTCTTTAACTCACAGATGTTTACTGGGCATTTATGATGTGCCGGGAACTTTTCTAATGTTGAGGCAGGATGTTAAAAGGCCCTGCCACAGTCCTAAACAACTCACAATCTGGCGAGACCAGACATTGGAGGTGGTGGGTGCAGAGCCTGTCAACATGTATGATGAGTGTTCTTGGGATAGAAGAGGTTACCAGTAAGCATGTGATAGGGAAGCTAGGGGCAGTTCTTACTTCTGGGAGTCAGAACACTTTATGAAACTGGATAGATAGAATCTACTATCTAAAATATAAATGAGGGACTTTAATAAAACTGTCACTAGAATAGACCTAGTCTGTTTAGAGGGTTTGTTGTAAATAACCCTGCTGCTTATGGATTTGTGAGGCACTGCTATGCTAAATAATGAATGTCAGTCTCCTAGTTTGTGATTCGCAAAGTATAAAAGGTGAAATCCCAAACAAATGGCTTTCCTAGGCTAACTTCACCCACTCACACAAGTAGCATTTATCACTGTGATGCGGAAAATGGCACCCAAAGGATCAAGTTCCATGGCCTCGGGTCCTCTGCTAGATGTGGTATTTCCTGTGACTCCTTTCTCATACCCTTCACTAGTCATTTGTGAAGCTTGATCCTGGGTTAGGTGTTCCTGTGAGTCTGGCTCTTTGTTCAGCCCTTTGTGTTTTTCCCTGTGTGGTCTCAGGAGAAAGCTCTGGTATCAGAAGGGTTCCTAGAAGAAGTAACAAGGATGGTGAGGATGGAAGAGTGAGTAGGAGTGAACCAGATGAAAAAGTGGTGAGAAATTCTAGATGAACAAGAGAATATGTGCCAGACACTATGATAAGCAATTTATAATTGAAAATTGATATTACTAATTCAGAATCCCTGAATTATACACTTCAGGAAGAGCACAAATACAACAAAGGCCTCTTCTGGCCCTTCCCTGCAACCCTGCCACTGGAATGTGAAACACTGTGCACACTGAAGCTACTGTATAAAACAAGAAATCTTAACAGAATTGGCTCTGGGTGATTGGCCAATGCCCACCCCCATCTCTCCAACAAAAGGTAAACCATAGAATTTCATGTTTATGTTTGATATGATTATAAATGATGCAACTCCAATAATTACCCTGTAATTACCTCTGTACCCTAAGATGGCACAGCAAGTTTACCTGCAGAGACAGCCCACTCAGATCAATTGTTGGGCTGCCCCAACTCCTGAATTCAGGCCTCGCTGAAGGTAGAAGAAAATACTGCTTGATGTGTCAAGGGAAGATTCATATGCAAACTCGAGACTCGGGTCACAATTCAGGGGAGTTCGCTTCCACAGGAAATTTGGGTCGGCCCAGGTTCATGGGACGCCCAGGACAACTGTGGGTGGCTGGTATGAAGGCGCTGATACAATGTGAGCACTGGGTCTGCCTTGAGAAAGAGTGAAGAAAGTCCCAGGTGGAGCGGGAATCAAGATGGTGAACCAAGTTGCAGGTGTCTCTCTCCTTCACACCAATAACTATATGAAATAATGGGGAAAATAAAAGAAACAAAATCAGAATAAATCTGCAACAGCAAAGCAAAAGAGAAGAAAAGGCAATGTCAGTTGGCCTGAAATTTTGAGCAGAGAGATGAACCTGGAGGAAACCCCAGGTCCCTAACACGTCACAGGGCAGACTGCTGTGGAGACGGGAACTACATAAAACCTTCACGTTTGGGGATAGGGAAGAAAGAAGTGGGTGGGAGGTGGCCTAGCATATGCCCTCCCTGGGCCCATCCTGTCAAGCCCCATCTCTCCTCCATCCTCAAGCCGCTGTTGGTCCTCAACAGCAGGGCAGTGGTGACATTTACCCACAGGCTGAGCTGGTGAGTACAGGCACTCAGACTAGAGATGCAGAGCTTGCCTGGTAGGTAGCTGAAGGTCACACGGAGGGACCAGGCACCTCCACTAAGGAATCTTAATTCACTTCTCCATCATATTCACTGATTAACTTTTTATTGATCAATAATATTTTTCCTAGTATTCATAAATGAATACAAATTTCTCTCCTACTATAGGAGATAAAGTGCCAGCTCTTCTCCCTCGGCTTCCCCGGTGCACCCCAATAAGATGATGTCTTTCTAAAGATTCAGCCCTTGTCCTTCTCCCTCCTCACATCCAGAGGAGTGAGTAGATGGTCTAGACCAAACCTCTCTTCCCCCAGCCCTGCTGGCTGGGAGCACAACCCTGGTGGTTCAGACCAGATGTGGTAGACTCGCCCTTGCTGTCAGTCATTTCCAGAGGGTCTACCATGGTCATTGAGATTTAACCATATACATAAATTTGGCCAGATTTTTTTGCTCATCGCTGTTTCCTCTCCTTGTTATCTGCTCCTGTCTGAGGTCTGTGTTCCTATTTACTTGCTCTGTGGTTAGCATTCTTCCTCCACTATTTTCTATAGATGAGTATGTTAGTGATATGATTTCTGAAGTCTTCCAAAGCCGCAGATATCTTTCTCCGATCCTCAGGGGACTGACACCCTGCGACCCCATGTTCGAGACTGATGACATTCTATTTCCTCCGTCTTATGTATGATGAACCTGAGGCTCAAAGAAAGTAGGTAACTTGTTCAAGGTCATGCAGCCAGTAGGAAGTGGATGACTAGCCATGGGGGGTTTCAGACTGATTAACAATCAAAAGCACAAGATAAAGCAGGGCTGAACCCAATGTCATGTTTATAAAATGATGTAGGGCTGGACAGAGCTGGCAGAGCATATCCTTCCTCCTCGGGAGTGCTGCCGGGGGCCCTGGTGCAAATGCCAGGCTCAGTCGCAGCAAGGGGTGGGGATGTCACAGAGGAGCTAATGTGTGTCTGCAATCGACTTTGTCCCTGGCTAGTTATGCTAGCTCTTCCTGGACGTATCACTCATTCCCACTGATTATGAATCATATAATAACCCCCACACCCTGAGTAGGTTTCTCACGATGTTCTCCTTAAATTATGCCGAAACTGGTAAACTCAGAAGATTCATGTGTCATTTGTTCAGACCATTGGGTGGCTGAGAAGTCACTCCAAGGTCAACTCTCAGGGGTCCTTGGCTCCTGTATAGGAAGTGGGTCAGCTAGGGTGAGGACAGGCTGTTCAACCATTCTGTTCAACCTTTCTTCAGGGGCAAATCCAGGCTCCGAGATTAGATCTCCTGGCTCCTAGCCCAGAACACCCAGTACAACCCCACCAGCACTTTAAGAGAGAAGATGCTGAGAGAGACGAGAGCAGAGTCTCTGAACTGTAACTGAGTTCCTGGAGGGATCTGTGTATGCGACATTTACCTGTCCTTCCTGTGGGATAGGGCCTGAAAAGTGGGAGAGAAGAGGAAGAGGCTGCAGCTAAGTGGGCCAGAGGAAAGGGTTGGGTGCTCCTGGCCCTGAGGATTGCAAGAATGGAGGAGACAAAGGAGGCACGATCAAGCTGTCCCCCATATTCCATGTTCTCCCACCTCAGCCCAGGGCTTTCCCCTCCACCTCCTGCCTTTTGGTTCTGTTGCTTTCCTCCCACTATGGGACTCCCCCTTGCCCGTCTACAAGCTAGATACTGATGTGAAGAGGCAAAACTAAGCCAATGGAAAATGATCCTATTTATTACAGAGTGAGATACTGTATATGAACAATAAAGCAGGATAGGGAGACAGAAGACATACGGGGGTGGGGGACATATTCAATAGGAAGTGGTCAGGGAAGGCCACCCTGAAAACCTGGCATTGTTCTGAAGAAGGAAGGAAGAGAGCCAGGCACAGATCCGGGTGAAAGCTTCCAGACTGAGGAAGCTCTGCAGGAAGTGCCCGAGATGGTCCATTGGGGTGAAAGAAGAAACTATTTGAACCTCCATTTATATTTTTATCTAAACATGAAAAGTTACATGCGCCTAACATTTACTATGTTATTAAAATATATAATGTAAATAAGTATATATGGGGTGAGTGCTCAACTTGCTAACAATTATACCAGTGAGAAATTAAAAGTTCAGAGATTACTACAGCACAGCCTAAGGCAATAATCTGAAAGGCCAGAGTAAATTTTTTCCATCATATTACCTGGAAGAAAACAGGTATCTATATGCTGTGTCTATCTTTTTGATCTCCTGTGTACATCTTTTTCTCCTTTACTTTACAGCAGAGTCCCCTATTCTTCTGTATTTTCAATACCAACTAGACCCATGCCTTGCAGATGAGTCCCGAATAAAGGAATAGATGACTGGACAGACAGAAGGATGCATCAGTGTACAGACCTGTTTCACCAAACCCGCATGCACTGAAATGCTACAAAGGCAGCCTTGGCACAATAAAGGACTTTGGCTTTGGCATCTGACAGGAGTGAAAATCCTTTCAAGTTCCACCCACAGGCGACTTACTTCCCTTGTTTCCTAATCTGTGAAATAGGAAATGAATTAAGCAGAAAGAGGAAATGAGGCAATGCTCTGGACAATTTCAAATTACAATGCCTGATGTTTAGTGGACACTTCCCACTCTGCTCTCCTGACCCCCAGGCCCACGCACTCCGCTCCCCATTGTCAGCACCCAGAAATACTTAGCTGCTAAGGCAATGTCAGGTGCCACGCTGGCTTTGCCCCCTCGAAGCCTTTCACAAAACCGCCAAGGACCCAGAGTGATGAACCCAGAGACCAGCGAAGTGGGCCTTAGTTAACTGAGACCAAGGCAGCTAGAAAAAGAGGGTTGAGCCAGCCTGAGCTAAAGCAACCTTGACAGAAGCAGGTCCTTTCAGGGAGTACCTGACGCGGCATAGGCCACTGCCCCCTCTCCATCCGGTGCCACAGTGCAGCCCCCTAAAGGGGTGGGAAGCTCTTGGGCGATAGAGAATGAAGGAGTGGGCAAACCAACACCAAGCTGCCTTTGGCGACAATGAGTGTCAAACCTCACCCGCTTCCCCGCCTCCTTTTCCCTCCCCTTTCCATCAGGCTCGTTCTCTGGCGCCCTCTGCAGGCCATGCTCGGAACTCCAGCTGTGGTGGAGAACCTTTACCCACAGTGAGTATCCATCCACTGGTGTTGGGAACTGGGCTCCGTTCTTGGGGTCTCTGTTCCCTGCCTGGGCGATCCTGCAAGGGGACTGCCCGTGCTGACCACATCCCCAGGAGCTGCCTGTACGAGAGCCCGCGGGCGAATAGGGAGGGTCACACTGGGAAAAGTGAGGGCTGTGGGGAGCGGGACTGGAGGGGAGCAGGGGGCAGAAAGTGCTGGGGTGGGCTTGGGTCCTGGAAGCTTATTGGAAGAAAACAGAGAAGCAATGGAAGGGGGCTAAGGACACCGTGCCTGCCTGCTTAATCCTGGCTTTGCTAATAGCTGTTTGTCTTTAGGTCAATTGCTTGATGTCTCTCTATGGCCACAATTTCCTTTAAAATGGGGATAAGGGTAGCTGCCTCCTATGCTTGTTAGAGGATAAAACTAGTTAATATTTGTGGGCGCCTGGGTGGCTCAGTTGGTTAAGCGACTGCCTTCGGCTCAGGTCATGATCCCGGGGTCCTGGGATTGAGCCCCGCATCGGTCCCCCTGCTCCGCGGAGAGCCTGCTTCTCCCTCTCCCTCTCCCACTCCCCCTGTTTGTGTTCCTGCTCTCACTATCTCTCTCTGTCAAATAAATAAAATCTTTAAAAAAATTTCATTTGGAAATAATTTCAAACTTAACACAAATTTCAAGAAAATAGGAGTAGAATGAACACCCATTACCTCGTCCATATTTACCCACTGTTCCCATTTCCCTCCATTTGTTTTAGACTTGAGCTCATACCTGCGTGGGCTCCCTCCCTCTGTACACACAACATAAATACATGGTATGTTCTCATGACCCATGTGGAGCATCTTGCATTTGCCATTGCACTTCACCTCTACATTCTTCAGTGTATATTCCTAAGAATATGGATATTCATTACATAGTCACAGTATTTTATCACCTGTAAACTTAAGATTGATACAATATGATTATTTTCTATACCATCCTATTCCAATTTTGTCAGTTGACCCAATAGTGTCTTTTATATCATTTTCCCCTTTTGTACAGACTCTAGTTTGGGATCAGGTATTCCATTTACTTACCATGTCTCTTGGGCTCTTCACTGGCTTTGTTTGTTTACTTTTTATTTAAATTCTGGTTATTTAACATAGCGTGTAATATTAGTTTCAGGTGTACAATTTAGCGATTCAACACTTACATACAACACCTGATGCTCATCACATGAA